GTGACTAAAGTCGAGATGCCAATTTAGGAACAATAACTCTTGGATTCTGATTTCGAAATCATAAAAAAAAGAAAACTATTTTAAAAAAATCATGATACCAAGTGTACTGACAAAAATTACGTTGTATTTAAGTAAGTGTTCATTTGGATTGATTCACTCAGTTAAGGACCATACGTGACCCACGATTGGACGACTAATGCCTGCCTCTTTCAATATGTGACTGACTTGACAGATTTTTGCTCGATAGGTTGCCGTTTCATTCTGCGCTAGTTGGTTGCCAACCCAAACTATATGTCCTAGTCTGTCTTACTATTCAACCCATAGCTTGGGGGAGATGGATTCATAATTTTCCAAAGAGTAACTACACATAAGTGAATAAAAAAAACCCGACTGAAATTCGATTTCGGTTCTCTGAATTCTCACTCCGAAATATTATCAATTTACTTTTCTTCCAGGATATTTATCTGTACAATGATCGCTTCGAAGAGAGATTACAAATATTTCAATCATTAAAATATCCTAAGAAATCTAAATAAAAAGCAATGTATTAGCAGCCTGGTCTACCTTATCTACTAATAAAATTTGCGCTTACGGAAGCCGATTAATGTTAATTATAATAGTGGAATATTTCATTACAAAAAGAAAAGAAGATTTTGCCTGATCGATAAAAATAGACATGTCATTGAGTTTTGTATTATTAAATCGATTAACTATCATAGTACCCGTTAAAAGTGATAAGATTATTTATATTTCGATCGGGGCACCTCGAGGTGGTGTAATGTCTAGCAAGTTTGTCTCGCTAGAACAATTACGATTGAGTAGTGAGTTTGATCCTCACTGGGTACCCCCTACTTTCGGCATTGTGCCTCATCTAAGCTACGCTTGGAAAATCACTATTTATATTTCGATCGGTATTGCTTTGAGATATTAGAGTGTTTTTTTTTGTTTGTTTTTTTTAGAGAGTATTAAAGTTTTGATGTACTTAGGATCAAACTGTAGTATCTGTGAGGTCAGTGATATATCTTACACAAACATATATTCTTTAGAAACTGCGATACATACACACACACACACACGCACACACACACACACATATATATATATATATATATATATATATATATATATATATATATATATATATATTGTTATGTTACACCTCTCTTTAGAATTTTCATATATTTCCTCTAACACTTGTTTCCCCACGCTCACACATACACTGTCACTAAAATTTTGTTTTTTTATACCAGGAGTTATATTTTCCGATTTCTTTTTTAAATTTGTAGGTCTGATGAATTGAATCATGATTACGATTCCAATGTAATAAATTATAACCATGGAATATTAGTGTTTGAAGACTTATATATATATATATATATATATATATATATATATATATATATATATATATATATATATATATATATGTGTGTGTGTGTGTGTGTGTGTTATGAAAAGATTACTTAACTTTTAAATATCAACTTTATCCCGACTTCAAAGTTTCTTGGTAAAACTTCCAATCTTCAGGGAGTTCTGGTTTTAAACTATATTTTCAATTTTTTAATTTAAATTTAATTAATTGATTCTGCTGTTTTTTAAATCATAAATCTTATAATGAATACTGATGACATTTAATATATCTCCAAGTTTCCTAACCAATGTTTTAATCCACTATGTGTTCAATTCCTGTCCCGGCTCGCAAGGACTTACACTCAGAGGAAACAGTATGATCAATGACTAAACAGTAAGAAATCAGAACTGCTTCGACAAAGATAGTGGAACGTGAACAATTTACCGCGTAAATTAAATAAAGTGATTGGGGCGTAACCGGATCGACAAGCACATGAAAAAGGCCGGGGGCATCGGCAGCTGAAATGTTGTGATAAAACCAAAAATGATGAAAACAATAAACTGAGTGATGTAAGTAATGACGAATCTTCATATTTGAAATTCTGACGCATTGTTATAATTTAAATAACATTTTTGAAAATTTAATTTTAGTTTTAATGCTAAGAAATGGCCTCGAGTTATTTCTGAATAGATGTGAATCATATTTGCAAATATAAAACTTGTTTCATATTATTTTAATATCTATTTGAAAAGAAAAAATAAATAAACCGTAAACGAAACTTTTGCAAAGTTAAACTTTAAAAAAATAAAAACTCTATGTCAAAAGGACGTTTTTCTTTAGAACAGTGTTTATTAATCAGTGTTTCCCGGAACATTAGGGTTTCGCAAGAGGCTACTAGAGGTAAATCAGCTAATGCTTTTTTGAATAATATTTGTTCGATTTTATATTCGTACTTTTATATCGTTGGAAAATTTTTTGTTTATTATAATACAGGCTCGAACCTCATATTAATTGAAATTATAATACTCATGAAGAATGAATTCTTTTTGACGTGTCCCTTTAGTACATTGTCATTCATGGCTCTCCACAATTTCCTGTACTTTGTAGATCTTAAAAATGTCTTTTTGTCATCTCTCTCAATCCCTGTTCCGTCATCCATTCACTCAAGCTCTCCAGGTAGGTTCTGCATTGCTTTCCTTTGTCCCTTATGCCTTCAATATATCCTAAGAGATCTTCTCCTTTATGTACCGTTTCCATAGAGTGCATTGCGTAACATGGCTCTCCACAATTTCCTGTCCATTGTAGCTATTAATAAATGTTTTCTTTCTGTTATTTCTCCTAAACCCTATCCCGACACCCATTCACTCAAGATTTACAGGTAGGTTCTGCATTGCTTTCCTCTGTCCCGCTTGCCTTCACTCTGTCTTAACAGATCTTCTTATTTATGTACCGTTTCCATTCAGGGCACAGACGATAATGGCTCTCCACAATTTCCTGTCATTTGTAGTTTTTAATAAATGTTGTTTTTTTGTCATCTCTCCCAAACTCTGCTCCGCCATCCATTCACTCAGGCTCTCCATGTAGGTTCTGCATTGCTTTCCTCTGTCCCGCTTGCCTTCAATCTGTGTTAAGACATCTTCTTCTTTATGTACCGTTTCCATTCAGGGCACAAACGATCATGGCTCTCCACAATTTCCTGTCATTTGTAGCTTTTAATAAATGTTGTCTTTTTGTCATCTCTCCCAATCCCTGCTCCGTGAACCATTCACTCAGTCTCTCCTGGTAGATTCTGCATTGCTTTCATCTGTATTTCTTATATTCAATTGCCCTGTGTGCATCACATTTTCTAAGCCCTCTTTTCTCACTATGTGCCTTATAAATTTCAACTGCCTCTTCCTGATTTTAAGTAGAAAATATACTTTTTGTTTCCATTGTTCCATTGCTCACATGTTCGGTCCATATTATTTTCAGCCTCCTTCCGTAGAACAACATTTCTGTTGTTCAAAGTCTCTTCTTGTTTTGTTTTTTGGTTATATCCCTCAAACCCTGTTCTGCCATCCATTTGCTCAAGCTTATCAAGTATGTTACGTGCTGCTTTCCTCTGTCCCTCTTTCCCTCAATCTGCCCTGTGATTATCAGATTTACTTAGCCTTCCTTCCTCATTACGTACCCATGAAATTTCAACTGCCTTTTTTTTGTTTTTAAGCATAAGTTGAGTTTTGATTCAATTTTATCTAAAACCTCATCGTTGACACATGTTCGGTCCGTCGTATCCTCAGCATCCTCCTGTAGAACCACATTCTGTTTCTTCAAGTCTCGTCTTTATCATTAAGGAGAGTAACAGTTCAGTACTCTTTTCCTCGTTTCTAATAAAGTTTTTTTTTTGTTTCTTAATACTCTGCTTAGCTTTTGGAAGCATCTTTGGCCATCCCAATGCGTTTTTGGATCATCAGTGTCGCACCTTTCGTCCTCTGTTTGAACACTTTGCAGACATTTAAACAGTTATATATATATATATATATATATATATATATATATATATATATATATATATATATATATATGTATGTATGTATGTGTGTGTGTGTGTGTGTGTGTGTGTGTGTGTAAGGCACAGTGGAGTAATGGATAGCGAAGCCGAGTTCGAATTCCATTACATTCACTTACGTACTAATACCCTTGGGAAAGGTGTAAATTCTCTTCTTCTCCCTCCAGACTGGGTTCTATAGCCTTGGATGGCAACTGGTTTAGGAGTAGGACAACTCTGAATTCAAAACCTGCGGAGGGTCGTTTGGGGACCTTGTGGCACTTAGTGGACCAGGTCTCTGTACGAAAACTTCACCGCTATAATCAAATCTCATGTGCTGTTGGCGGGCTGTCGGTTTCCTGGGAACTGATCTGCTTCACCCTCATACGTCAAATTCGACGGGAGAGTCGAGTATACACGCACACACACACACACACACACACACACACACACAAATAAATAATATATATATATATATATATATATATATATATATATATATATATATATATATTGTTTATTAAGTAAAATACGATAGAATATAAAAGAGATAGATATTAATAATGGCATATAATAATATTTATGCGGTGTTTCCCTGTCACAGGAAAAGTATTTCAAGGATGGCACAAGGGTAAAACGTCGATAAATGCTGATCTAGAGACCGCTACTACCGTATACACCCTTGGTAAATGTCATTGTTATAAAAAGCTATTTTGAAATTCATAAAGAAGGCTGTTGAGGTCACCAGCTGAAATAATGTAATAACATGAGTGTTATAGCCCGTATGTAAGTAATGTATTACGATACATTTGACAGTTTTATTTTAAAATATTCTAGATCTTTACTACTTGTAACGATCTTAATTCAGTGATTCATATTCTACAGCTGATAAACGCTTTGCAAGTCATTTAAAGCCAGAAAATATTTTTGAATGTAAGAATTTCTTTTAGGTAATATTGGTTTAGTGATATAAGTCCCACTAATTAACACAGAGCTAGAATCAGAAGAGGTGGATTCATTTTGCGCGTAATTGAATATAACGAACCTAAAGGGAATTGGAACTCCGCACTCCGATAAACAATTTCAAAACATTATCCATTACACCAGCTGCACACACAAGGTTTCAGCACATGGTATTCCCATGCAATCACACATTTAGGTACTGACTAGAATCAACGTTGCTTAACTTCGCTGACCGTACGCGAATCGGTGTTTCAACGTGATATAGCCGTAAACAGTAGCAATGCTCCTGGTAACGTTCTCACGGAGATGAGCATCATACAGATTTTGCCGTTCTATACAGATATTATTTTGTGTCGTGTATTTGAAATGCAAAATATGTTTCTGGTCGACTTTCTTAGATATAAACAAAAACAATCTAAATTCTTCATTCACCTCACATAGCAGGCACTTCTTTCAAATAAGCAATATAGCTTTCGTTTCTCAGGGTCAACAGATTAAAAGTTATTACTAAAATAGTCAATCAAACATAAGATAGGAAACGTCAAATGCGGGTCGTTGCATTGGACATCTCGAAGGCATTTGACAGGGTTTGACATGACGGTCTCCTTCGCAATTTGAGATATTCTTTAGGTCAACTGCTGCTGTTTTAACGATTATTGCTGAAAGAGTCTATCAAACATAAGATAGAAATCGAGAAGTGCGATTCGTTGCATTAGACATCTCGAAGGCAATTGACAGGGTTTGACATGGCGTTCTTATTTGTAAGCTGAAACTATGGTATTTATGGATAATTTTTTAATCTGATTCAGTCTTTCTTATCGTATTGCGAATTGAAAGTTGTCCTCGACGGCCACACTTCTATATATCTTTTTTTTTCAGTAATGTTGGTGACACAGGACTGTATCCTTGGCACTACGCTGTTTCTAATTTTCATAAATGACCTTCCATATGCCACCAGTTCTCTACTCGCTATACTGATGACATAATTATTTACTCCTTTCTCAATAGTAACTAATAGGTCTCAGACTGTCAGCTGGTCTAAAAAATGATCTACAATTTGCTGTTAACTGGATTAAGGATTGGTTAATTTTAACGCTTCCGAAATGAAACTGCTGTTTATCATTCATCTGAGAGACACCTTTCTGTCTTGCATCAGTATGGCTGATGCTAACCCCCAGAAGAGTGATTCGTTGTGCCTTCTCGAGCTAACATTTTTCCCTTACAGGAAATGAGAAGATTATATTGAAACACCTGTTTGGTCTACTGCTAGAAATGTTCGTTCACTGTGTCGTGCTAGACATTTTTTCTTACGAATTTATAAGTCTATAATTCGTTCAAGTACTGTATAGTACTGGCACAACTGGACTGATGTTCCTGATATACATTTACAGTTTCTTGATAAAACTCAAAAAAAGAATCTGCAATGTTAGTGATCTTGACCTGGCATCTCGGCTTCTGTCACTTTCTCACCGCCGTATTGTAGCTTCCCTATGACTTTTCTATACTTTCATGGTAATTGTTCCGATTAAATTCCTTTGTGTTACCTATAATTTACGAATTTGAGCATATTATTAGATTGGAGACATGGGTTCATCAATTTAAAATTGAAATAGCTCGTTGTAACCGTAAGTTCTATGTTAGCAGTTTCGCTTGTGGGACTCTCTTCCGACTTCTTGCTTCCCAGTCAACATTGATCTTCAAAAATTTAAATGCAATCTCAATGGTTATCTTATGTCTTCTTAATTCTTTTTCTTTTGTTGTTCTCTCTCTTTAATAGTAGTTTTGCTTTTCTTTCGTTTTTTTTTTTCACATACTGTTGTAGCATACCTACGAACGATTATGGGTATGTCCTCATTCGCATAAATACAGTAGTAAATACTGTATGTTGGTCTGCAATTGGAGATTCGTCTTCAGCTGTGCTGGTCAAACTCTCGTCTCGGGAAACAGCTACCCGACCCCCGTTTTATACGGGGTCTACTGGGAAATTTGCCCGAGACAACGGGCTCGGATACCCCCACATTAAAGTAGCCTTGTGCTAAATCTGACCGCGTGGGGCCGTGGGTAGATACCCTGCAGTGGAAGATTCATTGTGGAATTTACGTAACACATTTCTAGCAGTTGACTACTTCTTCTTCGCGCCGCTGACGAATCTTATATGTGTTGTTCTTGTCCTATGTATTATCGTTCATTACCAAACTTCGTTTGTTTATTCTATTCAGTAACCTTCCCTGGGTTATAACAAATACTCTTTAACAGTCATTAACTTCTTGCGTCTTAGTGGCTTTATTGCTTTGCTTGGGGTGAAATGATAAAAAATGCTTTATATGGCAGAAATGGATACTGGCTTTTTTGCATGAAGCGATTAACAATAAATAATGATTAATTAACAATAAAATAATGATTAATTAACAATAAATAATGATTAATTAACAATAAAATAATGATTAATTAACAATAAAATAATGATTAATTAACAATGAACTGCGATTAACTAACAACCGAAAATCGGAAACATTGTTTAGGTTTAATAACATAAGTGAATCATAATGGTTAGGATTCAAAATATTTTTTCTTCAATTTCTCGAAATCTAAGAGTGCTAAATAGAAAATCCAAGGTTTCCTATTCCCTCTCTCTATTTTCTTTAACATTATTTTATGTTGTCTTTCAGAAAATAATCTATCAGAAATTCTACCGACGTGATACGTTATATAATATTTATTATTTTTAATTAACTTTTGAACAATCTTATTTGCTTTTGAATATAATTTAATATGCAAAACTTAATTAAAAGTTTCTTAACATTAAAAACAAAAGACCTCTCTCTCTCTCTACCTTTGTCTCTCTCAGGGTTCTTTTAGGTGTGAGCCATGTTAATATAATCTACAGCTAATTACATTATTTGTCGCTTAACAATAATTATTTAAATAATTAAATTTACATTCAATTTAAATAAATTTCATTTAAATGCGATATAATTTCATTTGCTTTGAAATACAATTTCACTTGATACCATATTAAATCTAAATCTTTCTTTTCTTTTTTAGAATTATAGTGATTATTTCTCAGCTGTGTTGTTTTAAAACAAACATTTTGAAGACGTTTTACTGTTTAAAGATAAATGGCTTGAACAAAATTTTACTATTTTACGGCAAATAGTTTTAAAATATTTTCCTATTTTAATAATTTGAAAATAAATGCTCTTTTACAATAAAGAATTGGACCAATTATACTGTTTTAAGGCAAATAGTTTTAAAAGAATTTAATTTTTAAGTTAAAATATTTGAGGAAATCTTGCTGTTTGATCGCAAATATCTAGAACAAATTTTATATTTTTAAGGCAAAACTTTCAAAATAATTTTTCTGTTTTAAACATGATATAACATGAAGTTTTATTTTTTTAAATGCTTGATCTGTTTTTATATTTTTAAAGCAAATAATTTGAACAAATTTGGCTGTTTTCAAGCAATTAGCTTGAATAAATTATTAATTTTTTACGCCAAACTCTTTGACAAATTTTACTGTTTTAAGGCAAATAGTTTGAAAAAACCTTTTTTATTTTTTTAACTTTGAACAAATTTTACGAATATAATTTTGTATAAAAGTTACAATTATATATTCAAGTTAAAGATTGCATTTTATTAACTCAATGAAGGTGAATATAAAAACAAAATTTGAAAATATTTATATTAAACTTTGAAATTAAGAATAAAACATTTTAACGTTAAATACGTTAAAATGTTTTTATATCAAAGTTTAATTAAATATTTTCAAATTTTATATTTACCTTCATTGAATATAAAATAATTTTAACTTGAATATATAATTGTAATAAAATTATATAACAAAAAATATCAACATTTTGGACACATTTTTAAAAATATTAATATTCATGATGCAGTGAAATCTGCATATTTAAGAGACTGCTTAAATGTAGAGATTAATTATCCAATGAAATATATTTAGGCGAAACTTAGAATACAGGTTTAAAAGTTTATATCTGTTAATATCTATCTATATATTTATCTTAGTCCATATCTATCTATCTATCTATCTATCTATCTATCTATCTATCTATCTATCTATTTATCTATCTATCTTAGTATGCTCAGATCTATCTATCTATCTATCTATCTATCTATCTATCTATCTATCTATCTATCTATGTGTTTATCTTCGAACGACGGTACACATATTTTGTTGATTTTTTTGTGCTACCATAGCGTTTCAGTCCAGCCGTTCTACAGATTTAATTCTATAATCTGCACGAGAAGAGTATTCCTCTCAATTACCCATTCTATATAGATTCTACTCATGAAGAAGGTTGTAGAATGCAGCGCTACAAAAAGCAACAAAAAAAATTCAGTCGTTCAAACAACACTTAATCTGTACATTATATGATGAAAGGCCGTAGAATAGTTTGGCCGAAACGTGGCTCCAATATAATCAATAAAAAGAAGAATCCACATATCTTTCGGGATAGACTACGAAACTTCAGTAACTGTTACCCTAAAAATAACTGCTTTGATTTTAATTCGAACACTTTAAATGAGAAATACTTATTTTATTCTATAAGAATAATGACTTGTAAGGATATTTCTGACATTACTGCTCTTTGCATTTCATAATTGCCGTTCCGGAGATCAGATTTAATTTGTTAAGTCTTTCGAGTGCACAGGTTAGTAAACGTAATTAACACTGTTTATAAAACAAAACAGAACATAGAGCATTTTCTCAAGCAGGAGTGTCCGCAAAATAACGTTTTGAGAAATATATATATATATATATTTATATATATATATATAATAAATTAACTGATTTAAAATGTTTTTTCGCTACACAGTAATAATTATGTTTCAAAAAATGAAGCTAAAAACTTCAAATTTAATTATATAATTAAATTAAAAGCATTTGTTCCGTTTCATCTTCAAGCGAATTTTGGAATAACTTATTTTTTAAAATTACTGAGTTTTAAACGCACATATAAATTCATAATTTCCTGTTTCCAAGGATATAGAAAAATCCAATCATTTAGACAGTAGTGGTAGCATGTTCGTTTTTATTATCTATTGTTGTATCAATTATGAATTACGTTTGAAAAAGAGGTTAAGTTTAGGGAGGGTAGGGGTCTATTTTTCAACGAATTCTGACATTCTGACCGGGAGGGGTTAACAGTAAAAAGTTTTTCGGGATTTTTTTCGTACTTATATATTTAAAGATTCTATCTAGGCGCGTTTGGGTTAGAATACGTTTTATTCAACTACAATTTGAAA